CTATCGTAAATTGAAAGTTTAGTATAGGTAATTGAATCTACTGTAATTTTAACTCGAATTAGTGTTGCACATTTCGCTGGATTTCGTCCATATATTTAAATAAAGGTTAGGGCTTGTAGGTTTGAAAAATTATATGTTACTAGCTGACCCGGCAAACGTTGTTTTGCCATGTACATTATTTTTAGGAATCATTATTTTAGTTCAATAAAAATAACTATCTACTATAATAAAAATAGGGGTTGATTGTAGAGGGGTGTAAATTAATGGTCGTATGTATTTTTATATGCTGTATCATAAAAAATAAAACAAAAAAAATTTTCTGTAAAAAATAAAATTTAGGGACCACCCTTAACAAAAACTTAGGGGGATGAAAAATAAAGTTGTCCGATTTGCAGACCTAACCGATATGCACACAAAATTTCACGAAAATCGGTCGAGCCAAATCGGAGAAGTTTAATTACTAACATTCACACGACAATTTTATATAATAGATTAATATCTTAAGTCCTAGAATTGGTCCTAGAACTTCACAAAGACTAGTAAAGCATAGAAATATGGGAATTACAGAATTCCACACACGACACAATTTTCTAAATCAGGTCGAAATTTAAACTGAGAAACGCTTTATTCGCAATAAATCGTTAGGTAGGGATTTGTTAAATTTATATCTACATAAATAGTTTAAAAAATTAAAGATTTAAAATATTAAAAACATTATGTGGTATTTTAAAAGACGTTTCATTAATCATTAAATTCAAATCATTATCCTTAAATTACAAGAATGCCACATCGCTGCGGTCCCTTTGATCTCAGAAGCGATGACATTATTTTTAGATCTCATTAGTAGTTGGAATTTTCTCATTCATCAGAAGAGGCATATTTCAATTTGTGGCGATAAGCCATTTGTTTTCGATTTCCGCCTTTTTGGTATGCGATATTTTAAGTAGGTAAACAAATGTTGGGAAATCTTTTGCGTACAAGATAAATTTCCTCATATGCTCTAATTTACTTGTACATATTTGTTAACACATAAATCGGAGCGTGGTCGTAAAATAGTCTTTATAAAGCAATTATTACATAGTTTTTTTATTAATTCTTTACACGCAAATTAGTGCTTTAGTTAAAACTACTTGATTAAGTTTCTAAAATGAATTAGTTAAGTAAAATAAAATAAATCAGTGGCGCTACAATCTTTATAGGTCTAAGCTTCAGATTTCAGTATCTGTTTCATGATTATTTGTCAATCTAATAGGCAATCTAATCAGCGTCCTGTGCACACGTCGCCTTTTTGGGTCTAAACCAAGCCGGTTTCCTCACGATGTTTTCCTTAAAGGCGCACTTAGAAAGAAAATTCATTGGTGCACAGCCGGGGATAGAACCTACCACCACACGGATGAAAGTCGCACGCTGATGATACTAGGCCAACACAAGTTATTAAGTGCCGATCACTAAAATTTATTTCAGGTGAAATGTTTCTTTTGAATGGAAAAAGTTATAACGTCAAAGTCAAAATCATTTATTCATATCGGTAACACAATTTACACTTATAATGAACGTCAAAAAAGAAATACATACAAATACAAGTAATATCCTTCGCCTATGGACAATTTCAAAATACTCACGAGTTTGCCCACCTTTCGGTGTATAATATCTATTATATTTGTAATAACACCAGTTAAAAGTTAAAACCCAAAAGAAAGTTCTACTTATATCGAAAATAACATAATACGTAAGTGTAAAAAAAACAAACTACTTACGATAATGGGCCGTAACTTAAATCATTATTTAAGCCGCTTTGTGGCATGTACGTTAAATAGTCGCTTTCGTAACCAGATAACAACACGTAGTTATAAGAATCGTGAATGGTCGATAAAGGGCGATGTCGACAGAACCTATTTGAACTTTAAAATTAATAGCTAATACAATAACGGTAATGATAGCAATGTAGAAATTCCAATGAAGGGAAAAAAGTTTAAAACATTAAGTAACGATGGCAAACTTCCATGATTTAGGCTTCGAATTTAAGACTCGGCTCAATATAAATTTTGCGCTGATGAAGAGGTAATCGCCAAAACTGGCGATTAAGCTAAACAAATCGTTCTATAAAAATGGTATCGCAAATTTGTATAACCGCTAAAATCGTTGTATCGCTCTCGAAGGCTATATTGAATAATTAAATCAAATTATATTAAAAGGTTTTGTCTATGTTAGCCTATCTATTATAGTCTAAATGCCAGAATCAACAATACAATCGTTATCCTACATATTAAGTTATGGACGAATTTGAAGTTAAATGAAACACAAAATTTATGATGAATTTCACTTGTGAACTATCGTTAGTTATGGGCCAATATGCCAAGACTAAACTAATTTAAATATATATCTTATACATACATATACTCTCACTCTCTCTCTCTCTCTCTCTTTAGTCGGTAGCTCATGTTTGAGCGTCGTGGTCAGCAAGGAAGCATCTAACAGGTACGAAGGACCGGTAATGTGTGGAAGGCTTAAATTTATATCTTCACTAATTTTGAATTATTTTTATTGAAATGTACACACCATTGTTATGCAAAGCTCCTTTGTTATAACAGTTAATTGAAACACTAAATTATTTCTATAAATTATCAGCCACGGTGATTTATCGCGTGCCCCACGGCCCGTGAAATTTCATAAGTCAAAAGAAATATACTCGGAAACCAGTCAGCTAAAACCAATTAAAATGTAGAGGTTGCTCAATGTGTTAAGTAAGCTCCGATATAAGCGTTAATCAAACGCCTCTAATAGAATATTTAATTGACAAACCCACGTCAGCCTAGACGAGTGTGTGACATGGGAATATTGATTAAAACCTCATACGCTTTTCATTTGATTGGATTTTAGAAAATTACATCCTAAATTCAAATTTAGAATGTACCTGTTACGCTAACGAAATACTTCAGGTAGATTGAATTATGTGGCTGTATAGCGCATATATATTAATATTATGATTATATGATTTCTTTTAAATATTATAAAGGACAATATTGGTTATTCGTAATGCCTTTGTTTAGTAGAAAGAAGAAAACAAAGACAATACATACCGAAATTTTAATTGATTTATAATACTATGAGAGCAGTGACGGCTTAGTAGCTTCAGCGCGCGACTCTTATCCCTGACGTCGTAGGTTCGACTGTGTCAATAGACTCTCTTTCTATGTGCGCATTTAACATTCGCTCGTGATTTAAAACATTGTGAGGAAACCGGCTTGCCTTAGACCCAAAAAACAAACGGCGTGTGTTAGGCCGAGGCTGGTCACCTACTTGCCTATTAGATTGACTAATGATCATGAAACATAATGAAATCTGAGGCCCAAACCTAAAAAGGTTGTAGTGCTACTGATTTATTTTATATAGTCAGCTAAGAATATTTTTAGGTATATCATGTATTCTAACATAGAAATTAACCTTTCCATATAAAATATTATATATTATAATAAATGTATGCGTATAATAAGCATAAATTTATTATCGCATTGTGACCGTAAATGTTCAATACATCATAACATTTTATAACGTTAAAAACCTTACTCGAGCGATTAGCCTTCCTCTCTTTGTTTCAGAATTATTGATTCAAGCTCATGATTATACAACAGGTAGAGAAGTTACCTTCGTAAATATTTATGTTACCGTTCTTGGAAGTTCCTACTTGGCATTTCACTTCAACCGATACGCATGTCAATCTTTATTGGATTTTGCATTAAACGTTTCTCGGATAACATTTCTAACAATTTCCTTAAATTGACTTTGTATTTAAACGGATAGAAATAAAATAAATCAGTGGCGCTACAACCTCTTTAGGTCTTAGCCTCAGATTTCTGAATCTGTTTCATGATCATTTTAAATCTAATAGGCAAGTAGGTGATCAGCCTCCAGTGCCTGATACACGCCGTCGACTTTTTAGGTCTAAGACATGTCGGTTTCCTCACGATGTTTTCCTTCACCGTTCGAGCAAATGTTAAATGCGCACATAGAAAGAAAGTCCATTGGTGCACAGCTGGGGATCAAACCTACGACCTCAGGTATGAGAGTCGCACGCTGGAGCCGCTAGGCCAACACTGCTAAATGTTTAAGTGAACATAACTAAATTATTGGTCAGTCAACCGTGAAAATCAGTTAAAATTCCATATCCGTTATCAATGAAAAAACGCTCAATCTCATTAACGAAAAATAGCTCTCGAAGGAAATCACACCCGACCCCACAGAATCGGAAATAGAAATACCTCGGAAGTGAAACTAATTAAGTTATCCGCGTCTCACGTGACTTGCGGTTTATTTTCGTACCATTCCACATTTCAAATAGTAACACAATACTAGAGTATTACTGTCAACACGGAGGAGAAACATACACTGATGTGCTGATAACGATTTCTGAGCGAAATTTTGCCGAGGGTGCTTCAGTTTTTGTCAATTCAAAATTCATCCCTCCTGCACTGCTGTTAGGTGCCATTTCGGATGTTGAATGTGGAATTGGTAAAGTGGGGTATACAGTATCCAAATATCTATGTTTTGCGTGTAAACGGGCGCGAGTGAGGCGTCAACCAGGTGCGGACTTTTGAGAGAAATCGATGGTGTTCTCAAGGGAGGAGTTATTATGACAGTTGTCGTTTATTTTAACTGGCACGCGACTTTATTAACTATCTGCAATTAGAACGTATTATAAGGGTGTTTATTTTTGTTCAAGCTTAATCTAATATATTACAAGTCTCGTGTCACAATGTTCGTTCCCATACTCCTCCGCAACAGCTCGACCGATTCCTATGAATTTTTTTATGCGAATTGAGAATCGGCTACTAGATTGACAGAAAAACCTAAAAAGTTTTCATTCCAGAAAACCGAACTGGGGTAGCATAGGAAATATAGTAAAATAGTATAAGTAAAATCACATTAAGGAGTAACGAAGTTCGCGGGGGAAGCTAGTATAATATATAATCTCTGTAATTAATATTGCTTTTTCTTTTCAGAGGAGTCGAGCTCAACAGACCCTGAGAATACGACAACACAAACTCCTCCAATTCCCCTGAGACCAGAATATGCGCATCCAGCGGGTGTTGAAGCATTGGACCCCTACAACTCAGAGAAGAATCCTCCACCACATAGAGACTATTTGGAAGAAGATTACGACCACGAGGGTCACAAGGATGACGACCATGATAACAGAGATGATGCAGACGAGCTGCCGTCTCTCTCTGGAGATCATTTGCTACAGAGTTCCTCTGAGTTACCAATGTTCTTGCTAGAACCTCAACATGCATATGTGGTGCGAAACAAACCAGCTACGTTGCGGTGTCGTGCGGCAAATGCATTACAAGTGTACTTTATGTGTAACGATGTTAGGTCAGTGGGAAGTACTCAGTTTGAGTTCGTGGACCCTCAAAGTGGGATCAGAATTGTGGAAGCCGAGTGTAATGTGACGAGGGACCACTTGGAGGAATATTTTGGTGAAGATCGCTTCGCGTGCAAATGTCATGCGTGGAGCAGTCGGGGAGATATAAGGAGTCAACCAGCGATTGTGGAGTTAGCTTGTAAGTAAACTTTTGTTTATTTTTTTAATAATTTCCCCCGGCTGTGCTTAACAAATGCCAAGGAATAGGAAGGCATGACTTAGATTAAGATTCTGTATGAAAATCCAGTGTTGGCCTAGTGGCTTCACCGTGCGTCTCTCATCCTTGAGGTCGTAGGTTCGATCCCCAGCTGTGCACCAATGGACTTTCTTTCTATGTGCGCATTTAACATTCGCTCGAACGGTGGAGGAAAACATCGTGAGGAAACCGACATGTCTTAGACCCAAAAAGTTGACGGCGTGTGTCAGGCACTGGGGGCTGATCACCTACTTGCCTATTAGATCGAGAAATGATCATGAAACAGATTCAAAAATCTGAGGCCCAGACCTAAACAGGTTGTAGCGCCACTGATTTATTTTTATTTTTTATGAAGATCTAATGCGTTGTTGACATACGTTAATCATACCTAGTAGACCTCAAATTCACAAAGTACAGAATTAATGAAATATGCTCACACACAGATTGATTACTATAAGTATAAAAACGTTAAAGCTTTATTATATATAAAAGCTTTACAAATAAAGCACCAATATATTATCATGCATATATTACAGATTACAGTTAGTATAATGTAATAAATTGAAATCTAAGAACATTTCATAAATGCATATGAATTATATGACCTGTAAATTTACGACTTCTTGTCACGTTAGTTCTAAACAAACGTGTTAGCCCGACACCTGTAAGAACCGATGAATATTAAAGAATAAAATATCGGTGAAACACAAACGATAGCAATAAAAACGTCAATAAACATTTGATACTAAACGCATAAAATCATATCCGGTGTGAATGGCTTGGTAGAATTAGAACAGTTGGACTGAGTTTTTCCATACAGATAGAATTTTGACTTGCCAAAGTCATTTGTATGGTAAAATCTTTAACGTAAACTAAGTTTTCATTTCACCACCACTGAGGAACCAGCATAATCCCTGAAGTATTTTCGAACCTATTGGTGGGTCTTGAAACCAATTCTTAAAAGGCCGGTGGCACTTGGGAGCTTTCTGGCAATTTGAGTGTTTATAAAAAAGCGTATTTGCTATATACCTTCTGCTATTTTGAGATTTTCTAGGTCTGGTTATTGACACATATTTAAACAGAGTATCACTAAGTTTAAAGGAAGGTTACACAATAAGGGAGCTTTCATCAACAAAGACTTGCGAAGACAGTCAAAGCAAGCTTTGTAATTCTTTGCTCATAATACCATATCTATAATAAAAAAGCAACTTCACCCAACTCTTTCAAATATTCTGTGCCGTGATGCAATGTTTAGTAAAAGCTCATAATTTGAGTATTTCCGTCGGTTATTTTGATATAACCTACTTTCTTGAACCGTGACGGTCCTTTAGTTAAAATTAAATTTTCTATGAATATTCTTGTTTCCTCTAAGCTTCAGGAAGTTTATGACATTAACAAACATCAAATAAAAAAATAGTTCTCGGAATAGTGTCTCACAGTGATCCTATTTTCAAATACTTGTCAGTCACTTCGTAAAAGCTTTTGTAATTTATTACTCCAAATAAATGATACTTAGGGCTCAATGTCGGTCACACCGTAAGGATTGACTTCGCCAGACGCAATATGTTTCCTACATAATGGCGAATAAACAAAATGTAATTAAAATATTTACATATAATTTTATGAAGTTTTACTACTATGTTTGTTATGGAATGGCTGGGAACTCTGAAACAGGTATTTTATCACTTAAAAGGGTTCCCAAATTTTAAACATTTCTATTATATATATAAAAGAAAAATGGTCTTCGTTTGAGGCTCCTTCACGCCTAAACCACTGATCGTATCGACATGAAACTACCACCATTGTGCGAAATTTTTCCTAGATGGTTTATGGCTATTTATTTATTAAATTCCAACAAATTTTTTTATTGCTGTTTTATTTTGAAATTTATCCATACGGACTTCACCGCGGAAACATTCGGGGAGGCTTCCTAGAACCTCTAAACGTCAACATCTGTTAAAAACTCGATTTTCGAAATATTTCAATTTTCTTAGCGGGAAGTTAAAAAGAAGAATAATAAAAATATGAAAAAAAATAAAATACATACAATACAACATAAAATTTATTTTAATTCGTCCAGCAAAGCGGGCGCGTAACGGCTAGTTATAATATAAATTGTTGTCAAATGAATAAACACATTTTTATTGTCTTTGATTAACATAACTTTTATTCATTTAATAAAACACTATTTTGACCGGATTGAAGTTATTATTGTTATAAATTTACAACTATTTAACATAATTTTAAATTTATCCGACGTTTCGAAGGTGCGTGGTCACGGTGACCACGCACGCTAAAGTAAGTAAGAGTTGTAAATTTATAACAATACATAACTTCAATCCGGTCAAAATAGTGTTTTATTAAACACATTTTTATTTATAATGAATCAACTTTTCGAAAAAGATTTCTATATGTGCTGCATTAATACCGTATCAGTGTCGTGAAGAAATCGTAAAAAAAAACAAATAATGCCAGTAATTAGTTAACAACCTAGAGTTATGTTAGACTAGTGGCTAAATTCACGAGTCTTCGTGTTTTCAAGATTTTTGAACGATTATAAAAAGAGCGTGAGTGTGGGTTTAAAGAGCAGAGTGACAAGATTACGAAAGGGAATGCTTCGGAGTTCGGTTATGGAGAACTGATGAATGGGAAGCGGTTATATACAAAGCAATCGTAGATGGTGAAATAGGGTTCGGAACGCCTTGTCGTACATACCTGGACCAAATCCGGGAGATACTAGAGATGGGACATGTCATGAAAGTAGATGAAGCTAGAAACGTATGTCAAGACCGTAGCAAGTGGAAATCTGTTGAGGCCTACCCCTTTGGGAAATAGGCGTAATAAATAAATAAAACAGACTTCAGACTGTTCTTAATTGAACCTAAACGAAGAGGTTTCAAATTCAAATTCAAAAATCATTTATTCATATAGGTGACATAATGTAACTTATGAACGTCAAAAAATAAATATATGAAATGCTTCTAATTTTTCAATTACTGCCAGTAAAAGAACTGAAAGTTTTTTGTTAATACAATGGTTTCTCACAAACACTTCTCAGTCATTTAAGTACACATTTAAAAAACACAATAATCCAATTACCGTACCGACGATCGTTTGGAAATTTGTTTTGACATGACAAATGGGTTGGTTGCCCATCAAATATTGTAAGATATATGAGTACTTATAAAATCCATTAGAGGCCTCAATTTAATTCAATGTTGGATAAATCATAGCGGATATTAAATAAATGTCTGGCGTCTTGTAGATTTATTGTCTATTTCATGTGTCTTCGTGAATGTTCTATCGATTTTAGAAGTCTCAAATTGTTAAATAATGTTTTGTTATACTGGTTCGCTTTGTTGTTTTAAATATTTTGTATATAAAAATAGTTTGTTACTCAGGGATAATTCGTTTTAATTGTGAAAGAATATTTGAAATCAGTCCGGTAGTTTTTTAGTTTATTCCTTGTATAAACACATTTCTTTTCTTATAATAGTATAGATATACAATGGTAGACATAATTCAATTGTTTTCTTAATTAGTATATGAACTAAAAATATAGCAATAATATAAAAATTAAAATTAATCAGTGGCGCTACATCCTTTTTAGGTCTGGGCCTCAGATTTCTGTATCTGTTTCATGATCATTTGTCATTTGTCACGCCGTCGACTTTCTGGGTCTAAGGCAAGTCGGTTTTCTCACTATGTTTTCCTTCACCGTTCGGCCGAATGTTAAATGCGCAAACAGCAAGAAAGTCCATTGGTGCACAGCCGTGGATCAAACCTACGATCTCATGGATGAGAGTCGCATGAGAGCTTAAATTCTATAAATAAAATATGCGGGAATTAATATAGCCATTTTTCACCGTTCGTTATTAACATCTATTACAGTAAGAAATATATTACCTGAGTAATTTATTTTAATTTATCGAATGCATATTTATGATGCAACTGTATTTACATAGCATTCATTTACTTCGCTTAACATCGCTTTTTGAGACAGGTACATTGAATATTAAATGGAAAGAATAATTTGAAATGCACCTGCCTGATTCCAACCGTTAGATTTAATCAATATAAGATATATTTATATCATTTATTTTTTGATACTTTATCTTTGAATTACTAGTAGGTACTAATTATATCTGTGGTGTTTTGTGCATGGTCAGTATTTTCGAAACAATTCCACTCGAGAAATGTTCGTACCAAATCTTAATATCCGACAACGTACCTGCGCTCATTAGTCTACATGGATTGTGGTATTAACATCGTCCGTTATATATCCGGTCCAGTATATTTATATATAGTAATAATAATCATAATAAAGCCTCATTTATTCCTTGAAACATTCATGCAATTTTATAACAGATACACAGACTTAATTATAAATAAATAATATATATTTTGTTTTCAAGAACCTCTTATAGAGTATAGGCCTCCTGCAATAGGCTCCATCTCTGTCCTTCACCGACTTCTTTAAATTCATCAGCCAACCGTTGCAAGAGGTCGACTCTCTTTCTTTTCCCTCGTAGCCCTTTCCATCTTGTTAAAATGTTAATTACAAAATTACTTAATTGTAGCATTAGAAATAATTACTTTCTTTTTGTTTTTAAATTACACATAAGATATGTGAACAATGTCGTTTAGTTAGTTACTTAACGAAAAACCAATGTGTTCATAATTATATATAGAGAAGCTTTATAAAAACTTTTTATCCGCAGGCTTAAACTAATAAATTTTATTTGGGCTTTTGCGTTCTAGTTTCAATAGAGGGTCATCAACCGGCTTTATAACTCCATATTTCATCCAGTTTTTATTTGAAAAGCTCCAAAGCTCTGGAAATCACCTCTCGTTTCATAATTTTAACAAGTTCAATTTTCATAACCCTACCTCGGTCACGCATTTGGATTATCCGAACCGATTATTCGTACTTGTATATGTGGGTGAAGCG